TCTCTACTACAAATACAAAAAAGTTAGCCGGGCGTGGTGGCGCACACCTGAAATCCCAGCTACTCAGGAGGGTAGACGGGAGAATCTCTTAAACCCAGGAGGTGGATGCTGCAGTCAGCTGGATCGCGCCACTGCACTCCAGCCTGAACAACAGAACAAGACTCCACCACAAAAAAAATGTTCAAGTCCTCACAAAAGCCCCAGCAGCCTGGACCCTGAGCCAGCATCTCCCCGGGTGGAGTGGGCTCTGCACAGGAGCCTCCTGAAGCAGGAGCGACTCGGCCTGGCTGGGGACTCGGCTGCGGAAGTGCCTGGGCAGCCACTGCTACTTGATGTGGCCAGAAAAGGCGCTCTCGCCATCCAGTGTGATTCCCGGGATCTCCTGTTAACGAGGAAGGCAAGGCCAGATGACACGTGTGCAGCAGTTTCTTCAAAATCCACTGTGCTGCTAGGCACAGGGGCTCACGCCTATAAACCCAGCACTATGGGAAGCCACGGCAGACAGACTGGCCAGGAAGTTCCAGACCAGCCTGGGCAACACAGACAGACCCCATGTCTACAAAAAATTAAAATAAAAAATTAGCTGGGCATGGTGGTGCACGTCTGTGATCCCAGCTACTTGGGAGGCTGAGGCAGAAGGATCACTTGAGCCCAGAGGTCAAGGCTGAGGGAGCTATGATCACACCACTGCACTCCAGCCTGGGTCAAGGATAGAGACCACATCTCAAAAAAAAACCAACAAAAACAAAAAACTAAGGTCTGAGAGGCAGGAAGAAGGGCAAACGCTCGAAACGTACACAAACAGGAACAGAACCCAACTGTGGATGTAAACTGTCGCCAGCCATGCAGAAGCATTCCTTCCAATACCTCTGACCCGAGGGCTTCGAACTGTCCTGTCAGCGACAGGTGCAGACAGGCCGGAAGGAAGCCCGCAGCCTCCCTCTGCAAGGCTGCTGTGGGGAGCCAGGGCCACTGTGGACAGTCGCTCTGGGGCTAGCTCATGTGTGCTGCAGGGAGAACCTCATGCTAATGCTCTTAGGAGCCAAACTCTGCCATGTTGAAAGAAACAGTCTCTGTTTCTATACATACAAAGAAAAGAATACAACATTTGAGTTGGAAACGTCAAAACGGATCCACGTGCACAAGCGCACACAGAGCCCCGTCCCAGCTCCACAGCTCTACTCTCCTGGACGCCGAGCCAGCCGAGGCCTGGCTTTCCAGGTGCCACTCCCTTCAGGAGGGGCAGGAAGGGCGGTTCTGGGGCCAGGCTGCGCACACAGGTTATGCCAGTATCCCTACGACAGGACCTCAGACATGAGCAGGGCCACAACTAATGGCTGCAGAGCCAGGCTGACAGGTGCTCACGGGCACGTGTAGGGTGATCAGAGCCCCTAGGGGGAGGGTCCGGACAGGAGACACCACCGCAGTACCCTGACCCAGTCACCGCGGCTGAGCGTGCGGAGAAAGCTGGCGAGATACAGCCAGAAGATGCATTCTAGGGCAGCGGGGACGGGGACCACGGAGGAGGTAACAGAACTGAGGCAGCCAAGGCTGCCTTCCTGCATGGGGCCACAGGGTTCAGGGAGGCTGGAGTGCCCCTGAGGTGTGGGAGCGACTGGGCGGGGAAACATGATGTCCTCGTGGAACCCTAAGATAATTCGGAAACACCATCGCCACACGCGCACACACACAGATATGTAAATAAACTCGCAAGGCACAGACGCACACAGAGACACGCAGGCCTGCATGCACACACAGACACATAAGCAGACCCATACGCAGACACGGAGGCACAGGGGCGCGCACACGCCGGCATGCACACTGACACGGAGGCATGCACACAGGCACAAACATGCAGACGCAGGCACGCGCAGACACGCAGGCACACGGGCGCGCACACAGACACAGACACAGGCACGCAAGCACCCCCCCAAACCCCATGGCTGTGGGGCTGTGCTGAAGGCAGCCGCAGACCCTCTGGGTTTTGTTTGGAAGACCTGAGGTGCCCACCTCGTTCTCCCCTAGCCTCTGGAGGTCTCCCTGGAGTGGAGGGCTGGGAAGCAGTCGGGAGAGAGGGGGCACCCCCAGAGCGCCCGTCTCTGAGCCCAGCGGTGGCTGTGGAAGCCACGTCCGCCGGTACAAGATGAGGTGGCGCTTGCTGCAGGGCTTGGCAAAGAGCCTGGGTGGGAGGCAGCACAACCTCCTCAAGAAGACCCCAAGCCTGCCCTGCGTCCTGCTGGAGGGCTGGCGGGGCTGGGGGGCAACGGCATGCTCAGTCTCCATGTTTAGGGGAAGGGGCAGTCCACACACTGTGGTCTGGGTCCCACCCTGACCTGCAAGACTGGAATCCAGGCAGCAGGTTCAGTTAGCTGCTCCTGAAACTACGCCAGGGCCTGAGGTTCAGAACACAGTGTCAAGGGCTCTGCACGCGCCTGGCGACCTTTCTCCGGAGGGAAAAAATAAAACACCTGAGAGCCCCACTCCTGCTCAGTATGGATGCCGAGCACCATGTGCTTGGGTCAAGAATAAAGGGGACTCTTGCCCCTCGATGGTCAGCTGGCCATAAGCGAGTTGCAGGCTCAACTCGAGAAGCTTCCAGCGCCGGGCGCGGTGGCTCATGCCTGTAATCCCAGCACTTTGGGAGGCCGAGGCAGGTGGATCACCTGAGGTCAGGAGTTTGAGACTAGCCTGGCCAACATGGTGAAACCCCATCTCTACAAAAAATACAAAAATTAGCCAGGTGTGGTGGTGGGCACCTGTGATCCCAGCTGCTCGGGAGGCTGAGGCATGAGAATTGCTTGAACCCAGGAGGTGGAGGTTACAGTGAGCTGAGATTATACCACTGCACTCCAGCCTGGGGGATACAGTGAGACTCCGTCTCAAAAAAAAGAAGATAAAATAAAAACAAAAATTAGCTGGACGTGGTGGTGCACACCTGTAGTCCCAGCTACTAGGGAGGCTGAGGCAGGAGAAACACTTGAACCTGGGAGGCAGAGGCTGCAGTGAACCAAGATTACGCCACTGCACTCCAGCCTGGGTGACAGAGCAAGACTATGTCAATAAAAAAAGAAAAAAAAAGAATGAAGAAGGACCACCTGGCTCCTGGGGGACTAAGGACCCCAAGCCTGAGCTGCCTTCTGCAGGACACCCTGCAGGGACCCCCAGGCCACCCTTCCTCAACCATGTCACAACAACACGGACCGACGAGGAGGGCGCCTTACCTTCCTTCATGTTTGCAAACCGCTCCTTCAGCTGGTGATCCACCTCAGGACCAAAGGCAAAGTTATTCACAAATATAACACTGCAAAACAATACTCCAGTTCAGTGCCATGAAAGCTCGGCTCACGGCGCAGCCAGCAGCTGCTGCTGCCAGCGCCAGGCCCTGCCCACACCCACCCGCCACCTCCAGGGCCGAGCCCACGCAGCCAAGACCACGCAGTTGAGCCCGCACGAACTAGCCCACAGGGCTAGCCCACACGGCTGAGCCCACACGACGGAGCTCATGGTGTAGGTTTCAGGTACAAGGAAAAGGCAAATTTGGCCTCTTTTGAATGGAGCTGAAATCAGAGGGGGCAGCTTCGTGGCCAAGTCACTTGTTTTGAATCTTGGTGGTTTTGGAGTCCAGCGGTTGGGGAAGGTTCACAGCAGCCCACACGGGGTGGGAAGAGCAGCTGTGACGAACCCACAGGCTGAGGGAAGAAGGCGGTGGCCAGGAACAGAGGCCCAGCAGCGGCTACAGAGAGCGCAAAGCAGAGGCTCCCGCTCAACTGCTAGAGAGACTGCGGACAGTGGGCCCCGGGCAAGGCGTCCTTGCAGCGTTTCAGACGCCCTGGCAAGGACGGGGGAACAACGGCTCCCTTCCAGGCCCAGCATTGCTTTCCCAGGCCACCGTCCCCAAATGAGGGTCATGGGGCCGCCTGTATCCCCACTCAGGACTGCACTTAGGAAGGCTAGAAGTGAAGTTGACTGTGCTCGGGCGGCCAAAGCAGGTGAGAGGCATGAGCCAGAAACACCTGGGGAACCTGGTGTTCAGAGAAAGACGCTCCACGAGGCCACCTCCAAAGCCACCGCCATCTCGGGTCAGACACGGGCAAGGGCAAACAGGCCGAGGCAAGATAGATCCTGTTACCAGTGGGCAGCCTGGGGTAGGAGCCCCTCCGGATCAAGGCCTGCACACTTTGCCTGGAGCCAGAGCGGGCTGAGCCCAGGGCCGGGGCTGCCTGACAAGGCAGTGAGTGGCAGCTCCTGGAGAGGAACTGTGAGAGCCTGGGCTGAGCCCAGATGTCAACGGGATGCCAGGAAATCGCTCGGCTTCTTCAGACTTTCTTACAAGACAGCAAGCATGGCCTGACTGCTGCGGATCGCCCTGCGCTCCCACCACAGCCCCACGGGATGGGGACACCACAGGGTCAGCACGGCTCCCTCCAGAGGGAGGGCACAGTGCCCCAACCCAAAGCAAGTTCACACAAGGGCAAACCCAGGAAACTTTTGGGAAAAGAAACTCCTATTTTCTTTTTTTTGGAGACAGTTTCACTCTTGTTGCCCAGGCTGGAGTGCAATGTGCAATGGCAGTATCTCGGCTCACCGCAACCTCCACCTCCCGGGTTCAAGCGATTCTCCTGCCTCAGCCTCTTGAGTAGCTGGGATTGAAGGCATGTGCCACCATGCCCGGCTCATTTTTTATTTTTAGTAGAGACGGGGTTTCTCCATGTTGGTCGGGCTGCCCTCAAACTCCCAACCTCAGGTGATCCGCCCACCTCAGCCTCCCAAAGTGCTGGGATTACAGGCGTGAGCCCCCGCACCTGGCTTTTTTTGTTTGTTTGAGACGGAGTCTCACTCTGTTGCCAGGCTGTAGTGCAGTGGCGCTTTCTGGGCTCGCTGCAACCTGCGCCTCTTGGGTTCAAACGATTCTCCCTCAGCCTTCCGAGTAGCTGGAGTTAACGGCACGTACCCTATGCCCCGCTAATTTTTGTATTTGTAGTAGAGACAAGAGTTTCACACCGTGTTAATCAGAATGGCCTCGATCTCTGACCTCATGATCCGTCTGCCTCGGCCTCCCAAAGTGCTGGGATCACAGGCGTGAGCCACCACACCTGGCCAAGAAACCCTCATTTTCTACTTATACCCAAAACCCTATCCCTGGGGGACACTCAACCACAAGCCACGAGCACACTCGGGAGGAAGGGGGACACAGGGAAGACGGGAGAAGTGAAGGAGTGGGGAGGACAAGGGGGGCAGGGAGGGTGGTGGGACTGGGGGAGCAGGGCCTGGCCAGCTGCTGACCCCACCTCCCCAGCATCCCCCACAAGCGCGTTGGACCTCTAGGGTCCCTGGTGGATGCAGTGGGGCGCCATGGCCATACACAGGCTGCCTGGTGGAGAGCACAGTGGCCCAGCTCACTCCCACAGAGCCAGCTACCACCAGCTACCAGGACAAACTGGTGGCAGTGGGAACAGACCTGGACAGTGCCCTGAGCTCCCGGGCCCAGGTGTGAGGGAGCAGAGGGGCAAGCCTGGGCTGGGCAGCGATGGCTTGGGATCAGGAGGGGCCGCTCCCTCAAGCAGCACTCATTGCGCTGTGTGGGTGACAGCTACTTCAGGACAGATGGACAGAGAGACAGGAAGACCCCCAGACCATGCCTGAGTGAGGAGGAAGCCCAGGACCCAGGTGAGAGCGGCCCACAGTGTCCCCAAGTCAAGGGGACAGGCAGCGGGAACAGGCTCATGCCGACAGGGGCTGATGGGGCTCTGAGGGCCCCACCCACCAGGCACGTCTGCTTTCCAGGTCCGCAGGGACTCAGCGTGAGGGAAAGGTGCCCCTCCTGTCCCTGCCGACTTCTTTTCTGCCACAATCAGCGCAGGAGCGAGGGCCCGTCCCTGGTCCCCAGTGCCATGGCCCCCGGCCGCCCGTGAGCACACCCCACATGCCCTGTACGCCCCGTGCCGGCCATACCTCGTGTTGGCAATTCGCTCCCTCCACTCTTCCGAGAGGAAATCGCCTCTCTCCAACTGGAAGAGAAGACAGGCGTGAGCGTGGACTCCCATCTCCTGGACACCCCCAGCCCGCCCCGCCCCTGTGAACAAAGAGAAATGGCATGAACCCAGCTCCGCTCGCAGGGAGGGGCAGGAGACCTGGTGCTGCCGGCGCAGCCCTGGGAGCTGCAGGCAGAAGGGCAGGTGAGAGGGACGTGCAGCGGACAGGCAGGACCTCCCGAGAAGCAGGGACAGGTCCCGTGCTCCAGCATCTACTCAGGGAGGCCAGGCCTGGCAAAGGTGACCGCGGCCACACCAACACACAACTACAGGCCACACACTGCAGGCTCCTCCAAATCAGAGGCTGCAGTCACTCCCAGGACTGGAGGCAGCCAGCAGGGGCGCCCTGAGGCAGGGCCTGCAGTCCCCACCATGCTGGGTTCCAGGGAGGGCCTGAGGGAGTCTGGGGGTGCTGGGGGCGCTGGGGGCACCCTCCGCAGCAGGCAGCAACATGGCCAGGCCGGAAAAGCCCAATGCCGAGCTCTGTTCCTCCTCACCAACCACAGGAAACACGCGCATAGAGAAGCTGGGCCACCTGTCTCCGTGGGCATCTGCCCCGAGCACCACTGACGGCCCAGTAAAAGCAGCACTGTCCCACAGCTCCACGCCATGCTCACAGCAAGGCCAGCGGCAGCCCGACGCCAGCCTACCTCCAGACCTCAAGACCAAGCACCATCCACGAGAAAACAGCTCTTATCACCCTGGCTGTCCAAAGCGGTAGCATCTGGACAACCAAGACCCCTCCTTTGAAATCCTTCCAAGACACTACCACCTCCATTCCCAGGTAACACCCCCAGGAGAGACAAAAACACGTCCGTGCCAAAGCCCGGACACAAATCCTGCAAAAGCCGACACCACTTGCCACAGCCAGAAGGCAGAAGCAGCCAACTGTCCATCAGCAGCTGAAAGACCAACACAGCAACGCACGGCCGTCCACACACAGGGACAGGACCCAGCCAGGAGCAGGGGCCAGGCACCGACCAGGCCACAGCACAGATGCACCGTGAGGACAGTGTGTGATCCCATTTCTGTGAAATGTCCATGACAGGCCCACCCAGAGACAGGAAGGGGATTCCTGCTGGGGATTGGAGAAGCTGGGGGTGAGGGCACCTCAGTCAGGTGAATCCAAGGGCCGAGGGAGGACGAGGGACACTCCTTTTCACACCGCAGCCACAGGCCTGGTGCCCCACCCAGAGTCTCTCTCAGGATGGGGAGGGAGTCCCTGAGCAGAGAAGGTCCCACAAGCAAGCCACTGGTGGCCCACCCATCCAGGCCGAGAGAGAGAAGGACACCCCCCAGGCTGGGAGGACAGGGCCACCCGTCCACTCAGACCCAGATCCAGAGGACAGGGCTGCCTGCCCCAGCCAGGAGCAGCTGCACGTCCTCCACTCTCCAGGGCCGGGGAAGCCCCTGGAAGGAGAGGACAGGATGGCAGGAGCACAGGCTGACCCTCCTGAGCCACCCTCCACGCCCGTCTCCTCCCTCTCCACATCTGACAGACTGACCCTCTCAACATCCCTCATTCCCTGTGGACCAGACACCCAGGGCATAATTCCAATTCCAAATCCTTAGCAGCACCAAGCAGATCCAGGCCCACATTGCAGGCCTGGGACCAGAAACCTGCCCTGGGATCCCCACGCTCAATGACTAGTGGCTCTGGGGCCAGAGCTGCTCCTGCAAGCACCGTGGCTCACGGGCAGGCCCTGCTTCCCTCTGAAGTCTGCAATCCCCATAGGAAGTGGGGAGCTGGGTCTCTGGGAGCCTTCCTGTGACAGTGCTTCAGGTAGCAGGACCTGGAGCCTGCCAAGCAGAGCACGGCCAAGCCGCTCCAAGGGTTTCTTCCAACATTGGAGTGAAGTGCCCACCAGAAAGGCACAAAGCGGTCAGGCAGAGCCTCTCTGACCCACCCTCCGCAGCAGGACAGATGCCAGAGGCAGAGGCCGGCGCTGACACCTGCCTTCCCCACCGCCAGGTTCTGACAAGTGCTGCCCAACCCACGAGGAATGACATCCTTTCCCCCAAATCATGCTCCTGGCAGACCTCAGGAGCCGCTGGCATGACCGCGCACACTAAACATGCATGGAATCCTGACCACAAAAGCAGCTGCACGCCAGGAGCACCTGCGCCACACAAGACATGCGCCTCAGCCATGTCGGGGACCCAGGCTCCAGCGGGTGGGGTGCTGACCCCAACGATGACAAGATGAGGCAGGAGGGGGAGCAGTGCCGGGGTGGCCCCACCACCTCACACCTATCCTCTCCTGACCAAGGCACAGCCCAGCCAGACCTCGCAGAGGAAGGCACCGCCGGCCCTCCTGGCTGTCACAGGGAACCATGGCGAGGGCTTTCATCCTCTGTGCCGGTATCCGACCGGAGTGCAGGTGGACACTGGGCCCGGGGCACCACACAGCTTCCGCAGAGGGCAGGGGACTCCAGAACAAACACCACGAGAAAGGGAAGGAGAGCTGGGCCCACAGCCCTGAGGGTGCAAGTCCCAATCAAAGCAAAGAACAGTGGAACAGAAGCCGAGGGAGCGCCACCTGGAGGCCACCAGCCAGGCGTGGCCGCGAGAGAACACTGCAGACCACGGCTCCGGCCCCCGCAGAAAACCCCTCAGCGGAGCATCAGCCAGCGGAGTCCCGCCTCGGACACACAGGATCGCAGGCCCATCGAAGGGGATGTATTCCGGGGGTGAGGGAGGCCAGGACAACACTTGAAACCCATCACAACAACCGGGTGAGGAATGGAAAGCACGGCATCGAGCCGACACCAGAAACAGCACCAAACCAACACACACCGCAAACTCAGGGCCGAGGGCTCGTCACCCACCTGACGAAGACTGTCCACACAAGCCCGCTGCTACCACGGCGCTCTGCGGCCAGGGGCTCAGCTGCCCACCAGGAGCAGGGCGGGGAAGGGTAACCGTCTTGCCCCCACAACTCACATTGCCTGGGAAAGGCCAGCCAGCACGAGGGGACGGGAAAGGGGGAGGAAATGGACATGGGCTGCGAAAGAAAAGGCAAAGTAGCCCAGGCTTGCAGACAACTCAGCCGTCAACGCAGAAAACCCCCAGGAATCGACAAGAACTCCAGGACCCACGTCACAGCAAGGCTGTGGATAAAGCATCAACGACCTCCCAGGTGCTGGCCAGAACCTGGGGCAGCAGGAACTCTTGTTCACTGCTGGGGGTGATGCAGCTAGTGTGGACACACTGAGAGGCAGTCTGGCGGTTTTTTCCACACGATCCAGCAATCGTGCTGCTTGCTCTCTGCCCACAGGAGTGCAGCTCTTACGTTCACACAGAAACCGACCCACGGATCTGTACGGCGGTGGTGTTCATAACCGCCAAATCGTGGAAGTAGCCGAGATGTCCTCAGCAAGTAAGCGGGCGAATTAACTGTGGCACACCCAGAATATGGAATACTATTCAGCAATAAAAAGAAATGGGGTGTCAAGCCCCAGAAAGACATCGGGGCAGGCGGACACGCTCACACCTGTCATCCCAGCACTTTAGGAGGCCAAGGTAGGAGGAGCACTTGAATCCAGGAGTTTGAAGCCAACCTGGTCAACACAGTGAGACTCCATTGGGTTTTTTTTTTTTTTTTTTTTTTTGGGTGAGATGGAGTCTGGCTCTATCGCCCAAGGCGGAGAGCCGTGGCATGATCTCGGCTCACTGTAGCCTCCGCTCCCCAGGTTCAAATGATTCTTCTGCCTCAGCCTCCCACGTAGCTGGGACTACAGACGTGCACCACCATGCCTAGCCAGTTTTTGTATTTTTAGTAGAGACAAGTTTTCATCATGGTAGCAAAGCTGGTCTTGAGTTCTTGACCTCAGTGATCCACCTGACCTCAGCCTCCTGAAGGGCTGGGATTACAGGCATGACCCAATTTTTTTTTAATTAGCCAGGAGTGGTACTTAATGGCTGCAGTCCCACCTACTCAGGAGAATGAGGTGGGAGGATTGCTTGAGCCCAGGAGTTCACAGCTGCAATGAACTATGATCACACCACTGCACTCCAGCCTGGAGGACAGGGGAGCCCTGCCTCTAAAAAACAAAGTTTCCAGCCACCAACTCCCTCCCTGAAGAGGCAAACAGGGACGCTGCCTGACCCCGGTGTCCCTGCCACCAGAGCCCGTGTCAGCCTCGCAGGGAAAACGGACACGCCTAGAACACGCACCCGTTTCCCCACCCAGGTGGATCTGCTCCGACCACCACAGCCAGGAAACCCGGGGCAGGACCAGCCAGCAAAGGCTCCTGATCCCGGTCAGGGACACCAGGAATAGGGCCCCAGTGCCCTGACTCTGGCCTTCACTTGTGCTGGGGGATAGTGTGGAGGGGTCTGAGCTGTGTGCCGCGGCACACACTAGGCAGGACGCATACCCACTCGCTCCCTCAATGCCTCCTTCTCCCTGTGAGGTGGTGGCAATGGCAGCAATGCCAAGGCCTCACAGCAATCTGAGGGAGGCCCAGCAGACAGGCCCACAGAGGGTGCCTCAGCAGGGAGCTCCCAACAGACAGACAGGTGCACAGCCCCAGCCACGCCTCCACCCACCTGGCAGAGAGGCAGACACTTGGCGGCCCTGCCTGGCAGGGCTGGAACCGTATGCCGCCCGTGTCCATCAGGCGCCCTCTGAACTGAGAGAACTGGCTGACAACAACAGGACCCCTGGGGAGTCTGAGCCTGCTTCTGCAACTGTGTTGTCAGGGCCACCTGGGATCAGGCCTTGCCACGTTCCATCGTGAGCTGCTGTGTGGGCAGTTTAACCCCTGCGCCATCGTCCTCCCAGGGTGGTGACTGGGTGCCTGCCCTGCCCAGCACTCCTTCCACCTTCTCAGGGAGGCCTCTCAGGATTCGAGGAGCTGCAGACTCTGGGGCCGCCCTGTGCTCCAGGGGCTCCAGGTCTAGAGCAGGAAGCATCCTCCTTCCCGCAGCCCCCAGACTCCGAGCCGCCGCCAATCCACACCACAGGAGCAGGTGCACCAGCACCAAGCCACAGCGCAAGAGGGCGCGGCAGGGATGGAATCTGCTGGTCTGGGGCATTGCTGGGAGGCTGGGCGCTATCAGCCCACGCCACAGGTGAGTGCCTGAGCGACTGGGACCAGGAGGGAGAGAACACAGGAGGAAGAAGCAGCCAGTTCTGCAAGCACGGCCCCTATGTGGAAAGGTCCAGGGCGGAGCCTGGGGTCTAAGGACTCAGCATGGGCTGGGAAGAGGTCTGAGGATGACACAAGAGCGGCAGCTGCTCCTGAAGCTCTGGCCCAGTAATCACCCCCCGGGTTAGGGAAACCAACCTTCCTACTCTCTAAAGAGCATCCCCTTCCCACTGCCACTCAGCCAGCCATAGAACAAGGAGCACATGCCCCACAGGCACCGGCCACGTGTGGGCACCATCCGCAGGGTCCATGGGAGAAATCCCACAGAGACCAGCCACGTGCAGGCACCATCCACAGGATCCACAAGAGGAATCTCACAGGGACCGGCCACATGCAGGCGCCATCCACAGGATCCTCAGGAGGAACAGCTTCCTCGGCAAGGGTATTATGACAGGGCAGAGAGAACACTGCCCACCCCAAGGTCGCAGGCTTGTCATGAAGAACATGGCACTGAGGACCAGGAACCCGTCCAAACAAGGCTGTCCTCAGTGAGGCATGACACCCCAAGGACGCTGCAGCTGGCCTACAACCTGGCCGGCCACACAGGCCTCTGCTCCAGAGCCCCAAGACCGTTTCCTGCACCACCTCTGTGCACCGCAGGCTGCCAAGGGACAGAGGCCATGTCCCAGACGACAGGAGGCATGGTGCCAATAGAGGTGCCCACTGCCAGCTCAGAGACCATGCCCAGGCAGCCCTACGACAACCAGAGAGGACTCCACAAGGGGCACCACGTGCCAACGGCCACGTGCCAACAGCGGCCAGAAAGGAGGGGCTGAAAGGGGGCGGGGCAGGGGCGGGGCCAGTGATGGGAGGGGGCGGAGCGATGGCACTCACTGTGTATTCTGCATGCTTTTTTCCATACCATTTCATCCACTTCCTGAACTCGCGGTCCATGGTCTGGAAGGAAAGAAACCAAACACCCGTTAAAAACTCTCAGGGCAACGGGGCCTTAACAGGTCCGCCCACGCCAGCGCCCAAACCACCCCAGGCACTTCTCGGCGGACTGTGCCACAAGGTGGAGCCGAGCGCCTCCTGCCTCACTGGTGGAACGCAGCGTGAAACAGGCTCGGAGACACCCCCACGGCGCTAGGGCAGGCCTGGAGGGCCGGCCTGGGATGGGCCTTGAGGGTGCCCGGGCACTGCACTCTCAGGCACACCCTGCAGGCAGCCAAGACATCCCGGGCCTGGAAAGAATGCCACCCAGACTCGAGGTCCCACAGCAGTGGGGTGCAGGCACCCAGGGCGTCACCTTCTCTGAGAGTCCCCTGCCTCCAACACATCCCGGCCTGCAGCCCCGCTCACCTCCGCATACTTGGCCGGGATGTCTGCTTTCTCGACGCCATAGTGATGTTTGCAGTTGGTGGCGGCGGCGACCTGGAGCACAACCTGGCCCACACCTGTGATCAGAGAGATCCATCAGACACCACACACGCTCAGGCGTCATCTGGGAGGTCATGCCAGCTCAGGGACACAGGCCACAAAATTACGGCCACGGAGACCCACAGGGGAGGCCACGAGTCTCCTCACATATGCGATGCTCTGAGGTCACTTAGGATACATCACAAAGACCAGGCCCCAAGTGGAGCCCCCACGAGTGGACAGCCATCATGACACATCATCCATGAACATGAGTTGGTGGCCCCCAGAGCCAGATTCCATTTTGAGTCTAAGGGCCCCATGTGGGGTTCACTGTTCAGACAGGCAGGGCTGCCTGAGACGCGGCAGGTCTGGAAACGCTCCTGTCCACCCCAAATCATCCCTGCAGCACCACCACAGAGACACACAGCAACATGGCTGATGAAACCTGACGGCGCCCAGGAAGGCTCCTGAGCGGGATCTGAGGCTCGACGTGGGGTGGGAGAGGCAGTGAGGAGCCCCCTGCAGCCAGGACAGGCTCCCCACTACTGCGGTTTCACAGCATCAGTGCACAACGCAGTAGTACCCGGCTCTGAGGGTGGAGGAGGGAACTGGGGCTATAGATGCGCCAGCAACAGTAGAGCAGTGGCAGCTGCACACACCGGGGGCATCAAGACCCCTCTCCTCCCCTGCTAAGCAGCTCTGCACTCCAGAGACTGGGCATGAACCATGGCACGACCACGGTGGCCACAGACCGCCACCACCACACCAGCAGGAAGGGAGGTATAGACGGGCACCACACCAGCGGGGAGGGTGGCACAGACGGGCACACCAGGGGGGAAGGAGGCACAGACAGGCACACCAGCGGGGAGGGAGGCACACCAGCGGGGAGGGAGGCACACGGCGAAGGCGGGAGCTGTGCCAACAAGTGCTAGGACATCGTCTAAAACACAGGAGCCTTTTTAATTTTTTTTGGTTTTTTTTGAAACGGGGTCTGGCTCTGTTGCCCAGGCTGAACTGCAGTGCTGCGATCCTGGCTCACTGCAGTCTCCACCTCTTGGGCTCAAGCAATCCTCCCACCTGAGCTCCCAAACGGCTGCGACCACAGGCCGGTGCCACCATATCCAGTCATTTTCTGTTCTTTGTAGTTGAGATGGGGTCTCACTATGTCACCCAGACTGGTTATGACCCAGACTCAAGCAGCCCTCCGACTTCACCCTCCCAAAGCACTGGGATTACACACAGGAGCTACCCGGCACGGTCTCAGCTCACTGCAACCTCTGCCTCCCAGGTTCAAGCGATTCTCATGCCTCAGCCTCCCCACAGCGCTATATGCGCTCGCCACCACACCCAGCTAATTTTTTTCTTTTTAGTAGAGACTAGGTTTCACCATATTGGCCACGCTGGTCTCAAATTCTTGACCTCAGGTGAGGAGGTCACCCACCTCAGCCTTCCAAAGTGCTGGGATTACAAGTGTGAGCCACTGCACCCAACCGATACGTGTTATTTTTATTGCAGTTTTTTTTTAACTTGAAAATAAAAAATAAAAAAAAAAGGCCGGGCATGGTGGCTCATGCCTGTAATCCAAGCACTTTGGAGGCCAAGGCGGGCAGAATCACCTGGGGTCAGGAGTTCAAGACCAGCCTGACCAACATGGTGAAACCTCTTTATAATAAATAAATAAATAAATAAATAGACCAGGCGCAGTGGCTCACGCCTGTAATCCCAGCACTTTGGGAGGCCCAGGTGGACAGATCATGTGGTCAAGAGATTGAGACCACCCTGGCCAACGTGATGAAACCCCTTCTCTACTAAAAACATAAAAATGAGCTGGGTGTGGTGGGGCGCACCTGTAGTCCTTGCTACTCGGGAGGCTGAGGCAGGAGAATCGCTTGAACCAGAGAGTCGGAGGTTGCAGTGAGCTGAGATCACGCCACTGCATTCCAGCCTGGTGATAGAACAAGACTGTCAGATAGACAGACAGAGACGGGAGTCCTGCCATGCTGACCAGGCGGGTCTTGGGCTCCTGGCCTCAAGCAATCCTTCCATCTCAGCCTTCTAAGTGCTAAGATTACTGGCAGGAGCCATCACGTCTGGTCTATGAAAGGTCCTCTTGGTGCCTGCCCTCAGGGCCCCCCTCCCCTACATCAGAGCCAGGACTGTTGGAAGCGGGGCTCACACACCTACAGGCACAGGTTTACATGTCCACTGAGGTTCAAGGGGCCCAGAGATAGCCTAGACGCTGCGGAGAAGGGGCCTCCACCGTCTGACCCTTGACAGCTGGTGACCCAGTCAGCCCTGCGGCCTGGATAGGATTGTCCTATCAGAAATTAATCAGGCTAGCCAGGTATGGTGGCTCACGCCTGTAATCCCAATACTTTGGGAGGCTGAGGTGGGCGGATCACAAGATCGGGAGATCGAGACCATCCTGGCTAACACAGTGAAACCTCCATCTCTACTGACAAAAAAGATTAGCCAGGTGAGGTGGTATGCGCCTGTAGTCCCAGCTACTCGGGAGGCTGAGGCAGGAGAATCGTTTGAACTCAGGTGGTGGAGGTTGCAGTGAGCCGAGATCGAGCCATTGCAATCCAGCCTGGGTGACAAAGTGAGACTCCGTCTCAGAAAGTAAGAAGAGAATGAAAAGAAAAGAAAGAAATTGGGCTAACGTGGCTACTCATGTGCTGACCGTTCACCTGTGCCTCGTTCAGGCCACACGGGTGCTGAAGACAGAGCCATGAACCCACACCTGGGGCCCTGCCTCAAGGAGCCCCACTGCGCTGCGAGAGGGGACACCTCACAAGCAAAGCCTGTCAGAGCCTGAGCGCAGGGAGAGGCTGAAACAACGCCAGTAGCTGGGAGGTGGTCTGTGGGGACTTGACGAGACCACCCTGAGCTCCAACCTGGGAGAGGCAGGACATGGCCCAGACACAGGGGTACCGAGGAAGGCTGGGGATGCAGGGAGGGCACAAGGCCCTCCAGGAGTCCCAGGGACCTGGGGTTTTCCTCTGCATGGACCTTTCCAGCTGCTGTGGAGGGAGCAGATGTGCCTGGGGAGGGGCCGCTACCAGCTGCAGGCTGCCGGCATGGGTGGGGGACCGCACTGGGGCCCAGGCTAAAGAGCACAGCTCCTGGGAGTGAGCACAGAGGGTGCACAGGTCCTGCTCCCCTGCTGGCGGGGAGCAGGGGAAAAGCAGTCTCCAGGCACCTGGAAGGAGGGGGACAGTCTGGGAACTGCTGGGTTCCTGCGATTTCTCCCCTCTAGGTGGAGACCCAGGCTCCAGGAAGGTCAGGGCCAAGAAAAGGAACGGACCCGAAGTGGGGCGGAGGAGTGGGGAAGGAAGCGCCGTAGACGCCAGCATCGCCAGACCCTGCTAAACTCTTCTCCACGCAGGCACGGGGCAGGCACAGGGCGTGTGGGCTAAGCACACGGCGGGCGGCACTCACCGCTCCCTAGGTCCACAAACAGGTCATCGTCGGTCATCTTGATCTCGTCGATCATCTGGGCCACCAGGTCGAAGGAGGTCTCCCCGTACACCTCGGGGGAGAAGGGCTCGTAGTTGTTGAGCTTCTCAGGGTCGGTCACCGAGTGGTTGTAGACCTGCTGCAGGATGTGGCGCAGAAGCCCGGTGGACGGCCGCGTGTTCAGCTTCATGGGTTGCGTGGTGCCCTTCCACTGCGGACGTAGGGTGGCCGGCCACGCCACGTGAACCGTCTGGCCACAGGCCACCCCAGCCCCTCTGCCCGAGCCCCGGGCCCTTTCCCAGTGGAAGCAGCCTCGCCAGCCCCACTGAGGAGGGCCCAGTGAAGCCACGCTGTCCCCACCAGGGCCTCCCTCCATGGCGAGACCTTCAAGAGCTTCCTGTCCTCACACACCAGGGACCACAGAGCTTTCTAGAACATGGGAAGCGGCACACTTCCCGTTACACCCTAGCTGGTGTGTCTGCCGTCCTTTGTGAGGAAAGCTTCACAAGACATGGCAGGACTGGGGAGCCCCAGGGTGCAGCCCAGGCCGCATCCAACCTGAGGAAGGTGAGCAGCATGGGGGAGGTCCGAGGGGAAGGCTGCATTCACATGGCCCAGGGAGGATAGGGACTCCGCCTCTGCTGGGGCCCTCGGGGACAACCCAGGGGTGCAGAGGCATGTGCGGACATCACAGCCTCGGGGCCCTGCCTCAGCACACAAACCATAGACGGCTCTGCGATGCCACATGGCTACAGCGCGCAGCTGGCCCAGCCCACGGGCACACAGCCCGGCCTCAGCAGCACCCCACTCGCCCACAGGCCACAGGCCCCCACGTTCCAATGCCCGAGGGCTCTAAGGGGGAGCCCTGTGCCCCTAGGAGATGACGCCAGGGGTCTGGAGGGGTCTGGGAGCCGGGCACTGCTGCCCCCCCGGGCAGGACGCGCCCCTTACCAGCTGGTGGATGCTGTCGATGGCACGGTTGTACTTGTCACAGAGCCTCTGCATGCTCTCAAAGCTAAAAAAAGCAAGGGAAGGGCCTGGTCATACGGGCCAGAACCAGCTGCATGCACAGAGGGGCTGGTATGTGGACAGGGCAGGCTCTGAGGTGTGGTCCCCTCCCAACAGCCAGCTGGCCCAGATTCCTCCAGCAGAAGCCTGGCTTTCCGTCCCGATGTCCCGATGCAGGGGTACAGGCAAGGGGACCCCCAGAGTCCGGTGCAAGGAAGCACTGGACCCCGAGGCGGCTGCACCCGCCCAGGTGCCCACGCAAAGCCCAGGTCCAGGTGAGCTGGAGGCATGAGGAGAGGAAGAGCGCTCAAGGGGGACCAAGGCCAGCCCCCCAGAGTGGGAACCCCTGGGTCTGGCCTTACAGGGTCTTCCTTCCCCTGGCTGGGAAGAGCCACCAGCAATAGAGGCAGAGGAACGGCCGCAGTCCTGGGGACCAGGAGGCCTCTGCCTGGGCAGGTGCAGGAGGAGGGAGCACTAAAGGTCGGTGCCCCCCCCACCCCACCTGCACTGCTCTGTGCGTATGTCCCTCTGAAGCCCCAACTCTTTCACGTATCAGCAGTGGGTCACATCAGACACGGCATGGCAGGGATGACAGTGACACTCAGCCCCCGCCCCCACCGGCAACAGCTCTGCCCGGAGCCCTAGGACGCAGGGCCAGCCTTCACTACCCAAGTGCGTGTGCCCAACAACCCTCTAGGGCAGAGCCCATCCGGCAGCAGGGAGTACCCAATGTCCGTAGTGCACGTGAGCCATAGGAAACGTGGGCCACGCTGCCCAGCCAGGCCTGGGCTCGGGGGACTTCTAGGCCGGGGGCAGGCCAGCTGCAGGGTCTGCCCAGCCCAGTTTGTCCGCTCCGGACCTGGTTACTTGCTCATCTTCCCAGGCTGTCAGGCCCATCGGCAAAACGCGGGCAACAGCATCCGTTCCACCTCCTCACAAGGCGCCAGAGCAGACCGAGAGATAGGAGGAGGAGGGTGGCCTGTCCCGGGAACACTGTCAAACACGTGGCTCTCATCAGGGACCCCAGGAATGCGGCGAGGCAAGCAACAGATGGGGGCAGGGACTGCTCGGCACCCTGCAATGTCCAGGATGGTCCTCCCAGAGAACGACCTGACCCCCTTGTCCACGTCCCCAGCGCCCGGGGGTCTGCAGCTATGGGACGGCAGAGGGCTGGGGGCTCTTTCCTCCACCTCCTCCCGCCCCAGCCCCAGCCCCAGCCCCATGCTCTTCCTGCCCCGTCCTGGCTGCCCTGAATTAACCTGGGCACTGCATATGTCCAAGTTTCACACATTGCCTTCCTCCCAGGAAAACCCGAGCACCACAGGCTGAGTTCGTGCTTTCCTTAAGCAGCAGCTCAGAGGATAAAGCAAGAGAACTTAAGAGCAGCAAACGCCAAGAACAAGACCCTGCGACAGCCCCAGGGAGCACAGCCACACGGGACCCGGATCACGTGGAGCATGAAGGACAGAGGGTGGAGGCAGCCCAGGCAGAGCGATGGGTCAGTAGTCAGCGCAGACCTGGGTCTGCGAGCAGCATCTGGCCGGGACCTGCCTCCCGCCACGGGAAGGAGAAAGACGAACTGGCAGAGCCAGCCCACTGCCTCCTGCCTTCCCCACGGCCCCGGGAGAAGTGCTGGCCGCCAACTTCCACACTCACCTTCAGCCGACAACCAGACCCCTCCCAAAACACCTCTGGAGGCTCCCTGGAAGAGACACCTCCTGGCAGGAGGTGCAAATGCAGGTGCAGGAGGAACCAGGGCTGCTCTTGGCCTGATGCCCTAATGGCTCGGTCCCTCAGGTGCCCCTGCCAGCATCTCAGGGGCATGGAGAGAGAATGAGGACCACCCACCGCCCAGTCGGTCCCAGATATCTTTTTAGCCTTGTGAAGGGGAAGGACGCCACATACCCACGTGCCGGGGCGCCGTGAGCACAGCGTCGGACACACTCGCTGCTCAGAGCCAAGGCACAGGCCGGCCACACACAAGTGAGGCATGGCACAGCCGCCCCTGGGTTACCACCAAAGGGGTAAGCCCGGACACTACCCACCCAAGGGGTCTCCAGTTCCTGACAGAGCTCCTGATTCCCGGAAACTTCTAGGTGACAGGAGCATCTTCTGTTCTAAGGAGGCAACCTGCGGGGCCCCTGGGTGAGGTAAAGCTGCGGTAGGAAGCTTAGAGAGGGAACTGGAGATGGAGGCAGCCATCAACCAGGCCTCCGAGAAGCTCGCATGAAACCCAGGAAAGGATGCGGAGCACTTCCGGGCTGGTGCATCCCACCTCCACGGACATCAGCAAGGCCTCAGAGAAGCCTCCAAGAAAACCCAAAAATACAGGATGCGGAGTGCTTCCAGGCTGGTGCATCCCGCCTCCACGGAGGCAGCTCTGTGTGGCCCTGCAGACCCCCTCTGTGCACCCTGCCGCGTTCATCTGCATGCTGCATCACACCTTATACTAACTACACCAGGAAGAGCCCAGCACACCATCACGCCTGATGAGGGGTCACGGGAGGTCCCGACGTGCAGGGCAAGTGGCGTAACGTCCACAGCAGCAGGTCGGCACGGAGGACCTGTGCCAGCAGCTGGGCCCCAAGTGAGCACAACGCACTACTTCTCCGCTTGTGGGACAGCAGGGTGCTGAGCAGGGAATGGGCAGGGCTCGAGGGAGAGGCACAGGCCCTCCAGATTTACTGAGGCTGAGACCCTGACAGCAGACAAAGAAGTCCCTCCCACACGCCCGTGAGGGCAGAGAGCAGGTAGAGCGTGCTCAGCCCGTGAGGGCGTCAAGGGCCCTGGGCTTGACTGGTGGGGCGCGGAGAGCGGCTCACTTAAGCTCAGGATAGAAGAGCTCTCGAGGGAAGACAACGCTGTTGATTTCAGACCTCCCAAGAGCTGAGAAAGGCTCGAGCCTGGAATGTCTTCGTACTCAAAGAAAAACAAAGCACTTCCCAGCCAGCATTCCAGAGACAGCCCTGCCCCTCTCCACCCACAAGACCCTCCTCAAAGACCCAGGAGCCGCCAGGGAGCACTGCTAACGCCTGCTAAGGCGGCCACAGGGCTGGAGACACAAGGAGACCAAACCCAACTGAGATCCAAACGGAGTGGCCGAAGAGCCTAGGGCCGCCCAGGCCTGGCCAGTGGCACGGCCTCAGGCAGGAACGCGGACTTCTGGCCGCCAGCCCCCAACTATAAAAAGAGCGATTACTAACGCGGGCTGACTCCACACATGCCAATTCCACTTTCCACAACCGGAGTTTCCAATTCTGTCCTGGCTCTGACCGCCTTTGCCAAGAGTTGATAAACATTTCCTACCAAAATAACTTGATGGTGGCCACAGCCAACTCTAAAAGGAAATTTCAGATCAACTTGCAGCATCTAAAAGCTAATTATAGGCTGCGCTGTCCCGCCCTCCCCAGCAGCCAAGCCTGTCCTGGGAGAGGAGCAGCCCGGCAGGACTCTGCTTACCTTTTGGTGTCATAGTCAATTAAAACGTAATTCTCCATAGCGAGCTTGAGATCTGGGATTTCTTCACAGACCCATCTGAAATACAGCAGCAGAAACGATCATGAGGGGTTTGCTGGTTTGAGACAGAGTCTCGGCTCTGTCGCCCCACTGGAGTGCAGTGTTGCGATCTCAGCTCACTGAAACCTCCACCTCCTGGGTTCAAGTGATTCTCTTGCCTCAGCCTCCCGAGTAGCTGGGACTACAGGCCCGTGCCACCACACCCAGCTAATTTTTATATTTTTTAGTAGAGACGGGGTTTCACTGTGTTGGCCAGGCTGGTCTCGAACTCCTGACCTCATGATCTCCACCACGGCCTCCCAGAGCTCTGGGATTACAAGTGTGAGCCACCGCGCCCGGCCCACATCTGCTCTTAAGCACTGCGCCCTCTCAAACAGAACATAATCACCACCACTCCAGTCAAAGTGGACAGAGAAAGGAGGCGCGACTTCAAAACAAAGGCTACGATGTTTACCATGAAGCTGTGAATGAGCCACACAGATTTTACATGGCTTCAGGGTCACATACGGGTGGCTCTGGGGAGCTAAGTGAACTCACATGCTACAGCGCTGGTCTAGGAAGCCACTGGCCACATCAGAGTTTGAAAAGCAACTGACTGACAAAAAGCTGAAGACAACCGTAATTTGAAGAATTAACTAACGCCAAAATAGGCAGAGCTTCATCAACAAACACTGCCAGGAAAAAAAAGAGCCAGAGGGGGCTCCAGACTAAGAGATGGAAACACAGCAGCCATCACAATGCGATACTGAAAGCGATCCTGAAAGGGGCGCTGTCCCCACAGAACTTACAGGCAGTAAGAAGAAAATCAGCGCTACTATGAAAATGGGGCCAGGCCTGTAGCACCAGTACTTTGAAAGGCCGAGATGGGCGGATCACTTGCAGTCAGGAGTTCAAGGTAGGCCTGGCCAACGAAACACAAAAATTAGCCAGGCATGGTGGCACACACCTGTAGTCCCAGCTACTTGGAAGGCTAAGGCAGAAGAATCGCTTGAACCTGAAAGGTAGAGGTTGTAGTGAGCTGAGATTGCGCCACTGTACTCCAGCATGGGCAACAGAGCAAGACTCTCTCAAAAAAGGAGGGACGGGGAAGAGGGGAGGGAAGGGTATGCCGGTAAATCCAACAGCCTCAGTGAGATGAACACAACCCAAGAGCTGAAAAAGGCATCACAAGAGCTGAAGGACACAAATCACGAAACCAAAACTGACACAAGAAGAAACGACATCTCCAAAAGCTCTACACCTGTAAAAGATTTTACTTCCCACAAAGATGGCTCCAGGCCCCGATGGCTTCACTGGTGAATTCTCTCAAACACTGACAAGATATGACACTAAACCTACGGAAACTTCTTCAGAGTTTCATGCAGCCAGCGTCACCACGACACTAAAACCGTAGACACACAAAGGACAGGAAAGAAAGTCAAGACAAGAAAAGAAACAGCAGCTCAACATCCCTTACAAACACACCCCACAATCCCTTAAAAACGTGAGGAAACTGCACAGTGGCACCTCACAACCTCCTGCAGCACCTCCCAGGGAGGAAAAGCTGCTTCACTCTAAAATGAGTCACTGCAATGCACCAAAGGAACCAGGACAGAGATCTGAGCAGCCTGGCGTGGGCAGGCACGGAAAACGCACAGGACAGCAACTGGCCAGCACAATCTCGGACCCTGAATGCAAACAGAAACCCATACACAGCGAGGCAGCCGGCTCCCAGGAGAACACTACAGCTGGGCTGGGGCTGGGCTGGGGCCCAGCTGCCTGATGCAGAGCCCTCCCTCCAACCATAACACCAGGCTTCTTTCACAAAGAACAAAGAAGGAAGGGCAACAGAGCAAGACTCTCTCAAAAAAGGAGGGACGGGGAAGAGGGGAGGGAAGGGTATGCCGGTAAATCCAACAGCCTCAGTGAGATGAACACAACCCTACTCCACCGCCTGGTCCACAGATGATGACATTAAAAAGAAGCAGATCCCACATTCTAAGCATGGACCCTGGGTGAGGCCCACCCTGGCCGACCTACAAAAATGGCTTCACTTAATCCTCCAACAACTTGGCCAGGGGAGGCTGCCCGGCCCCAACAGTGAACCACAGGGCCTTGGGAGCCAGGGCCTGGCACGGAGCCAGGGCCTGGCACGGAGCCACGGGCCAAGAGGAGCTCGGCATGGCCCTCGTGGCAGTCGCAGGCCTGGGCAGATGCTGGGCGTGTGCACGGGCAGTGGCCTCACAGCACAGCATGCTAAGGAGCAGCCCAGCAGGACGCCAGGGCCCCACGGACATGTGCGGCCTCCCCGCAGGTGGACACAATGAGGTTCTGCCCCTGAGCACATGAGACACACAGAATGCCGGCCAGCATGGCAGCTTCCCTGTGGACAGCAGAGCGGCACCCTGGAAGGCCCCCCCGTGCTGTCACCACAGACTCTGGAACCCAGGCTGGGAGTTCACAAGGACAGGGCGGCCTCCTCCTCCTGCCCATCCAAGTCGCCCCGGAATGCACCCCTCTGCACCCATGGGACACAGACACAGGAGGCCGTTGAGGGCGCGTGGGAGTGAAGCTCAGCCCAAAACCCACAGAGCAGAGACTAACAGGGAGGCAGAAGAGGGCAGGGCAATGCCCCTGGAGGCCCCGCTGGACACCCCAACTCAGGACTTCTACACCCACTGGCCAGGAAGGGAGCTGGGAGAAGCAGCTCTGCCCGTCCCTGGGTCACCCCACTCTGCTTCGCAACACCTCCAGGAGCCTACGCCTCGGGAGCCGCCCCACAGCGTCTGCAGAGCACGGGTGTCCACAGAACTGAAGACCCCCCGACGGGCCCTCAGGCCTGCACTCACCGGATGGTCTCGATGATTTCATGAGCAGCATCATGATGTTTGTCCTGAAAAAGAGAGAGAGAGGTCAGAGACGCAGAGCCATCCTCCACCCCCGTGACCCCACCGCTTCTTGCCGGACCAGCGCCGCCGCCAACTTCCCGTCTCATTCCCCCACTGGTGTAGCTCTCATGCCCACCACCCAGCCGGGGCCACCAGACAAGCCCACCGCCCAGCCGGGACCACCAGACAAGCCCACCGCCCAGCCGGGGCCACCAGAGACACTCCTAGACCCTGGACCACACAGGGAACAGGGACCTTGCCGGGGACCTATTCCTGGCACGCCGTGTCCTACCACAGGGAGAGGCCTGGGGTGGAGTCTACAGCCCCCACCCTGCTCCTCTCCCACCCTTAAGCAAACAGCCGCCCCAAGCTCCACTCCATGGTCCCCCCCTTTTCTCCCTGGAGGTCAGATGATTCCTCCACACACCCCGAGCCCCTGAGGACACGCTCCACAGGCCCACCAGGAACCGCTCCAGCCTGGGAGCTCCTGCCTGGCTGGGAATCCTGCTTCTGCAAAGGCCCGGTACGTGACTGCAGGTGATGGAGCCTCCATGGGGCCTGATTCCACGGGACCGGCCTAAGAAACAGCAAGAGCACATGTCTTTTTTATAAAAATAAACACTTTTTAAAAAAATCACCGTTAGGCAACCACTGTAGTAATCACAGCTGCGGACGTGACCCGCGGGAGGCTGCGGTCCACGGCGAACCGTCAGAGGCGGCCCAGGCAGCCTCAGCATGCCTCTCCCAGGGCAGAAGAAAACCAACCAACGGGGCACCTGTGGACGCCACCTGACAAAACACAAGGCCAGTGTCACCACAGTGAGACACGCAGACGCCACGAGCCTCCCAAGGCCCAGCCCCATCTGTGAGCTCCTGCCAGGACGCAGACCCTCAGTGTAACACAGAGAAGACCAGCCCGGCCCGACTGAGGGGCGCCACACAGAGCCCCGGTTGGCTCTCCTCCAAAGTCCAGACCATGGGAGACCCCCGGCTTTCCTTATGCAGGAAGGGACCAGCCAAGATGGGGGAGACAGGAGAGGCAAGGGCTCATGGCAGTGCCGGGCTGGGGACCCTCCTGGTTCGGATCAGGGCGCTGTGAGGAGGCGAAGCGGGCTACGTGAAAACTCTGTGTGTGGTGTTTTGCAATGTTTTCTTAAGTCTAAAACCATTTCAGGCCGGGCGCAGTGGCCCATGCCTGTAATCTCAGCACTTTGAGAAGCCAAGGAGGGCAGATCACCTGAGGTCGGAGGCTCAAGACCAGCAAGACCAACATGGAGAAACCC